TTCTGAACTTGGATCCAATGCTCTTAGAGAGGGTATGAAGAAAAACCTGCTCCCAACTTGCTTTGCACAAGTCAGTACCAGAAGGAATTCACAGGAAAGTAAAGTTAATGTCAGTGTGAGTCTGCGGATGCAACGTTTTACGCTTTACCTGTGATTCCCCTGTAAAGTCACAGTCCTATTGTTGCATTTTTTCCTATTTTATTACCCTCCTGAGAAAATGCTTTTCCAGAGCTAGTACATCAAATCAGATCTGGGACAGGTGTTGAAAATTTTTCAGTTAGTCGTAAAAGTCACTTGAGATTGGGGTGTGAATATGGGGGAGTTTAGGGAATAAGTAAAAACTACATTTGAATTTGCAGATTTTGTCACAGGAAATATGTAGAAAACAATTTAATGGGGCTTTAGCTTGTTTCTAGAACGCTTTGGAAAGATTTTAATCTTTTCTTAAGCTGAGAGATTGATTTAGCATCATCTTTTCCCCTGGAGGTCACAAATAGTCTAGGCAGCTCATTTTAAAAAAATCGTAGTTCTTTTCAAATAACAGCTTGTGTCTGTATGGACCTCCAGATCATACCTCCTGGTGTTTATCAAAGTATGGGGAAAATATGGGCTCAAAAAATTGATAATTTAGGGAATTGGACACCCTCTTTGATTTTTTTTTTTTTTTTTTTTAAAAAGTGGACACAGAATGATTCCATTTTCCTTGTGAAACCTGTGTAAGGCAGGTTTCTCAGCAATTCTGTAACTTAACTGCTGTCCCTAAGTTACTCTTGCTACTTTGTCCATTTGAACTCTTTTTCTCACCAGTGACAAAAGTACCGCATGTCAGGATAAACAGACAAACTTTTGGTAATGAGGTACTCAACCTATATTACAGTCAAATGCAATTCTATAATCACAAATTATAGACTAAAGTTATCACTTTTAACTAGATTTTATAATAGCTATTTATAAATCTAAGTAAATCTGAAAAAAATACTGACTAACTTTGTGACAATTCTGGTGATTTCATATTTAGGATTTATAAACTGCCAGCACGTTCTTTAAGATAGTTCTTTGTGACAATTTCAACCTCTATGGAATGAAAGCAGTTAAAATTACTGTGTTGCTCACTTAAAACTCTTCTTCTATCTACTTCTCTGGCTTTAGAACTTCTCACTATTTTTTTTAGTTTACCATTTCCAAATGTTAAAAGATTTTTCCCAAACTGAATACAATCTAATACAATCTGAAATATTTTCTTTATTAGAATATACAAAATAGCATACATATGTTTTCCAAGTGCCTTGAAATGAAATTGGTCATTTCTGTCAGCTCATCAAATGTCAGAATGATTATCCTTGCAGATAGTCTTGAATGAAGAAGCTGTGAAGTCACAAATGTTCATAGTAATCTATTTACAGTTAATATTCTTCCTCTGTAATGCTTTATTTTACAAAAACATTCCTGCTAGGCAATAATGAAAAAACAGAGCAAGTTCAAAATCAGCTGAAGTGAATTTAGAGACTAGTCAGTTTTTTAGAAAGAAAATGATGCTTTTTGGACAGGTTGGAAAAGTAGAAGCAGTGTGTGTGCATGGTGCATCTTTTATTTTTGTTTTGCTTTGGCTTTTTTCCCCTCATTTGTCATACAGTCTGGATCTAAGCATTAGTTACATTAATCCTTTAATCCTACTGTCTAGCTTTGCTTATGTAAGTTTTCTTATATAGCAGGGATGGGCTAGTTATATTAAAAACAGAACTGACCCCCAACCTCTGCAAGAATACCTAAGAACAGATAACTTTTCATATGCAACTTGAATTTATTTTCAATTTGTTATGTGAGGGTTAGGCTCCATACTTCCTGTGTCAATATGAGACTGAAATTACTGCAAATTATAGCTGCCCTTTTGCACTTAGCTTTCTAATGTCTCAACAGCAAAACAAGGAGAAAGAGCATCTGTGTACTTATTCCATAACTGTTACCTTAAAATCTGCCCATCAAGCGAGTCTCTCTTTTATAATTCAATTAATTAAAACACTTTACTATGATTGAATGTATTTGTTACTGGCTGTGTACAAATCTGGCCCAGTAGGTTTCTTGTTGGTCCTTGATTAGCCTTAATTTATGGAAAATAATAATTAGATACCAGAAGCATAGGGACTGGATGACCCAACATGACAGCTGTTTTGTTTGGAGTGCCCGCACCTTTCTTTGCACATGAAACCCAGTCTAATGAGAATAAATTATATTAGGAATTGAATATATTTCCATCAAAGTAACAGTCAACATTACAGCTTCCCGTATGAGATGTCCTGTCAGGACACTGTATTTGCAGACCGGGTTCCCACTACTTTCTGGCTTGGTTTTTCCTTTATTGGATGAATGTGCTGAAGCAGGCTGGAAATAACCAGACTGCTTAGGTGTCTGGGCAGAGACTGAAGTAGTATTTGTGTGAATCACAGATATTTTCAGTCACTGTGCAATATGCTGCTTGGAGCTGCAGATTAAATTCTGCCTGGTTTGAAAGACCCACATGAGGTTTATTTGTCATTAAAATCCTACTTAAATCCTATTTTAATATCTTAAGTAGGATTTAAATGATGCCTAGTGTAGACTCCCTGTAGAGAGGGGGAAAAAATGACCCTAAAGTTTACCGAGAACGTAATATTTTGCAATTTTATCAAACCATACTTAATAGGATTTCAGGGCCGTTGATGGACTCTAACCTGTTGTAACATCCTAACTGTATATTCTTTGGGTAAATGTTATTTCCACTTCATTCATTTAAAATACGGAGGCACGGAAATGTCTAAGTGACCTAGCCTGTGGCGTTCAATGGCTGATATTGCTTGCTATGTATTCTCTGACTACTCCCTCTGGCTCCCTACACCTTTATTTAGTTTTAAAATAAGTTCCTTATTCTAACATAATCCTGCCTCTTTACTGCTGTTTTGAAACACCCATGCAAGCAAAAGGCAAAGCAAACTCAGAAGCACTGTAGGAGAAATGCTAAAATCAATGTTGGACAAAGTAACTTGTGTAAAATAAACTGTAGAAAAAGCCTCAGGCAGCTCACTGTTTTCCTCTGGAGTTTCTATTATTGACTGTATGTTAATACAGTAGTTGGTGAAAAATCCTGGTGGAAAAGTCATTTTTCAGTTGCTGCTTCTTTAACTGTGATGTAAACGGGCTAAAAATCCCAATGACGCTGCAAATGTGAGAGGGAGGATTTACTGAAGTTCTGCAGTTCTTCTAGGCTGTGGTATCTCTTGTATAGAGGAGACACAAGCTCATCCTGATAATTTTTTTTTTTTTAAGTCATGTTTCATTGCTGTGAGTGGAGTAAGTCTGTGGGGCAAGGTGGGTGTGTGGGCCTGTGGTCAGAGCAGGAGAGCACAAGCACTGCGAGAACCCTGACTTGGCACCGGCTCAGCCATGAGCTCTCTGTGGGACCCTGGGCAAACTGCAGAACCTCTGCTATTTGTTTGCCCGTTCATACTGGATAAAATGCTGATTGCAGAAAGGGGCTGGGAACCTTAATTAGCAAGCATTTGATTCACTTGGGATTCTCAGAGGAGAGGTGCTATAAAAGTTTGGGAAGATACATAATTACTCACTTACACTGCAAAGATTTAATAATTTCTCCAACACAGTTATGACCTGAAAGATCCTGCATTATTTTGCTGTATCAGGAGCATGTGTTTTGATTTTTCAAAGGCCGTAGTGTTTAATTTACAGTTTTAAAAAATACTAAGTTACACATCTGTACATTCATTGTGTTATTATAAAGCTTTGTTTGGGATAGTGTTAAGTATTTGTTGTCTGTTTACAGCTGGTTTAGTATAATGTAAGTCTAAATTTAATTCATTGCTGTTGCAAGCTCTTTAAGGTGTGGTCTGAGCACAGATTTTGCAAATTTTAATTAATTCCCCCCACCTTTTAGGCAAAATATTTGTTACTTATGTAACTTGTGTTACTTAATTTATGTATAATAACTTTATATCATTTTGCTCATCATCTTGGGAGTACTAACAAATGAATCAGGACGTAGGTTTGTTGGAAGCACAGACTGATGGAAGAAAAACAAATCAGTGTTTGGGTGGGGACGTGGAGAAAATGCTCTTTTGAAGTTTTGTATTCAGAGAGAGAGTTGAATTACAAGACTAACTTTCTGCACTTGAAAATGTTGCTGAAATGATGACTCAAGCTTGGGGCACAAGTTAAGGAAGGGTAGATTTAACACAATGCAACAGGCCTACTAGAAAAATATGTAGCATGGGTGGTTTTGTGTGTGTGTGTGTCTTCAAACACAAAAATCTGTCAAAGTAGGTGGGCTTTTTTTTTCCCCCCCTCCATAAAGTATTCTGCTAAAACGGAAAAGTACATTAGACCAAATGGTCTTTTAGACATTGTTTTGATCAGAGCATAAAATAAAAGGAAAGCAAAGTCATTACATCAGCAGAATGGATTAAACTTATTTGGTCTGTGCTAAACATAAATGTTATGTGCATGGGGGAAAGGTTGCTGGTGCAATACAGATCACTAAAAAGTGATTGTAAGACAGGTATTCTCCGTTGTTCTCTCTGCTTAGTTAATGAGAAAAGTATGTTGCTGATTATCCTATAAAGTAGGGCCCCAAATTATTGAAGTTTTAAATTCACAGGAAGTTCAGCTTCTGCACAGGCTACTACTTTAATAGCTGTGTTTGCCTCATGTGTAGCAATTCAAAACAGTTTGGATTTAGAAGGATTGCCCTCCATTACATCTGTGACAACAGGAAGCTACAGCTTCCATTAGTGGCCAAGCCATTATAGGCACTTAAGGAGGTACAGCACATTATCTTGTATTTACTCAAAATAAAACATATTGTTTTTTCCTTGAGGAGCTTAAAAATCTAAGATGGACTGACAGAATACAGATAAGATAACAAGGTGCTGCACAGTAGGTTGATAAAACTGCTGATGTGTTTGCAAGAATCAGGTTGTTTTATTTTCTGCTTTGATTTATCTTTTTCCAAGGACAATTGTTCTGTTGGTACTGAAGTGTTCCAGAGCAGGGACAAGAAGAGGAAAATGAGAGTGGGGATACCAGAAAAGCAAATACTGACAGGTGAGTATTTCATAAACTCTTGTTGCCTAACAGTTGGGGTCTTTATATTGCCCTGTGTAACTTAGTTGGACCAACTTCAATTCCTCACTTGATCTGACGGTACCTAAAGGATAAGAAAGGGATCTCAAATTATCCAGATAGATTTGTCCAAAACTAATCATTTGAAACCAATATGACTTCCTCTGGGGAAAATACAGCAGGTAGCATGGATAGCAGAGATGCAGCCCATATTCTGTAGCTTGCTTCAAGTAAGGGTTTTTAATACCATCTTGCATGCTTATCAAACAGTATTTTATTTGTTGTATGGACTTGCTGAGACAATTCTAAAATGCCTACACAAGTGGCTGGTAAAGCATATTCAAGAAATGGCTGTCAGTGATCTACCATCAGAAGAGAAGGTTGTTTTCTGTAATTATGGAGGGTTTGTTCTTCTGGGTCAATTCCATTCCATGCTTTCCTTGCTGATATGGATGGTAGAATAGAAATGGTGTATATTACATTGGCAGGTGACACAAGGCTGCAACCAATTTGAAAAATGGGAATGGCCTTGAACTGTTGCGGAATATAATATTGAGAAAATTAAGTAACAATAAGTACCAAATTCTGCATTTTGAAAGGTCATTTTGTATCAAAAAATGCAGGAAAAAAAGTGCTGGGCGTTCTAGTGGATCGTGAAGCAAACATGGTTTTTTGCAAAATCGTGAAGCAAACATGGCTTTTGCAAAAATGACAGAAATGTCTAAGTAGGTGTATCATTTGTAGGAAATGTAAAGAAATCCTCCACGCTGTTCAGTGCTCATAAAGCTTTATCTGAACTACTGTGTCTTGCCGTGAGCACTGAACTTCAGGAAGGAGTACGAATGTTTACTGTACAGCATGAAAAATAAGTGACCTTCAAAGAAAGAATAAGAAAATTCAGTTTTTGTGAAGAAAATGTAGGCAGCAGATGTAATCAACTTTCAAATTTATACAGAGTTTCTGAAATGAAAAAGGGAATAAATTATTCTCCAATATTGGCATTAAGCAGCTAAAATGGTAGCAAGGGAGCTTTTGGTTAAGCATTAGGAAAAGTTTTGTAACTGTAAGAGTACCAGAATAGATTGCCAGGTTGTGAAGCTTCTAGTAGAGACCTTCAAGAGCTTGTTAGATATTCATCAGTTAGGTGTGAGTTGACTGCACATGAATGGAAAGGTGAGGGATAGCCTAACTGAAGTTGTAAGCCACTTTCAGCCCTATTTTCTGTGATTCTGTACATCCTTTTATAAGAAAAATCTTGCTTTTGAACTCTTTTTCGCTTTTATTACCTGAAAGTATTGTGTCTGCCCACTAATGTGTGATCTGGTAGGGCATAACAAAGTGTGACTTCTCAGTGTTTGTTGCTGGAAGGCATTGATATTGTTGTATTTCTATTCAGTGATGTTGCCTGAAAATTTTTTTGAAGAAAGGATTAACTTAACAGCCGATGAATTTATTGTCTCAGCATTTCACAAGCTAGGTATGTATTTAATACAGTAACACAGTTCAAACACAGTTCTGAGTTCACTATGCTACGCTGAATTCATTTTAAAGCTCTGTTACATCTGCAAACTTGCTACTGGGCTCCTCCAGGGCTCAAGTGCATTAACACTTACAGCTTTTGCTAGAGTAAGTTGTTTGTTAGGCAAAACCTGGAAGTGAACCAAAATCAACTCTAAAGTTGGATTTTTCTCAATACAGTGAAATATGTTTCATGCTTATTATGGTGACTAGCACAGATAAATAAGACTTGCTACATTTAGCACTGGTAAGGGGATGTTTTTTTACCTAATGCTATGGAAAGGGAAAAGGAAGTTCTCATACTTTTTTGCAGTTTCAAGCCAGATGTTTCTAGATATTTAAGCAAATACAGTCAAATAAATAGTAGGTTAAATAATAATGTCATGCCTCCTGGGGCATCTAGAGCATCCTCGAAAAGTGGCATAATCACAGAATCATTTAGGTTGGAAGGGACCTCTGGAAATCGTGTAGTCCAACCTCCCTGCTCAAACAGGGACCTCTAGAGCACATTGCCCAGGATCACATCCAGGCGGGTTGTGAATAACTCCAGGGAAGGAGACTCCACTACCTCTCTGGGCAACCTGTGCCAGTGCTCTGTCACCCTCACAGTGAAGAAGTTTTTTCTCAGGTTCAGATGGAACTTCCTGTGTTGCAGTTTGTGCCCATTGCCTCTTGTCCTGTCGCTGGGCACCACAGAGAGGAGGCTGGCCTCATCCTCTTGACACCCCCCCTTCAGATACTTATACATGTTGATGAGATCGCCTCTCAGTCTTCTCTTCTCCAGGCTGATCAGGCCCAGCTCTTGCAGTCTTTCTTCATAGGAGAGGTGCTCCAGCCCTCTAATCATCCTGGTAGCCCTCCGCTGGACTCTCTCCAGGAGTGCCATGTCTCTCTTGTGTTATTCCTGCCTAGGTGCAGGACCCTGCACTTGCCTTTGTGGAACTTCATGGGGTTCCTCTCCGCCCACCTCTCCAGCCTGTCCAGGTCCCTCTGAATGGCAGCACAGCCTTCTGGTGTGTCAGCCTCTCCTCCCCGTTTAGTATCATCAGCAAACTTGCTGAGGGTGCACTCTGTCCCTTCCTCCAGGTTGTTGATGGATACGTTGAACAAGACTGGACCCAGAGACACCCATAATTTCAGAGAACTACTTTTTTATCCAATGAGAAGCTTTTGAGATAGCTTTCAGATGCTATCTTTTAAGGTAAACAAAGAAATTCAAGCAAAGAGCTCTGCAGAGAAAGAATGCAAGAAAGGCCTAAACACAAAGAACTACTTAGATGATAGCTGAACTGTGTCTCTGGAGCTCTATATTGTGCCAATGAAAGACAGTTGTTAAGAAACTGTTTGACTGCAAACTGAAAATTTTTCTCTAGTTGTGTGTTTTTTCTCTAGTTTTTAGGTGGAGCTGTGTGAATAAATTTGGCTTTGGGTCCCTACTGTGCTTTCCCAGCCTCCTCTGTAATTCAGGGTGTGAATTTTGGGTTATTTTTATAGCCATTGTTTCAAAGAACTACCTATGCCCCTAATAATTACCCACCAGCCTCCCAGTACATATTGAGCACTGAAAAAAATAAAAGCATAAATGTGACCTGAAGAAAGCAGACCTTTGGACTGCTTTCATTCAGGTTATGTCAGGTAGTATTTTGTTGCATTATGTCATGTCCGTTTAAACCATTAGGAAGATTGGGATGACACCATTTCCTAGTGTTTAATGTGATTAATTAGAAGCTTGGGTTGAGGTATAAAATTAATTACTTGTACCAGTATGGTCAGCTTTAATTTTACTAACTTAAACTGTAACAGCCTGCTATGTCAGGCCAGGTGCTTCGACCTCTGACAAAAGTGGAAATGCAACTACTATACAGTTCTTCAGCAAGAGATAAAGAAAACTTAATTGTTTGAATCTGGCTTAACTTATAT